CTGCTGGAATCAACTGAATGACTGCTGGAATCAGTCGAATGACTGCTGAAATCAGCCAAATGACTGCTGAAATCAGCCAAATGACTGCTGGAATCAACTGAATGACTGCTGAAATCAGCCAAATGACTGCTGGAATCAACTGAATGACTGCTGAAATCAGCCAAATGACTGCTGGAATCAACTGAATGACTGCTGAAATCAGCTGAATGACTGCTGAAATCAGCTGAATGACTGTTGGAATCAGCTAAACGATTGATGTAATCAGCCGAATGACTGCTGGAATCAGCCAAATGACTGTTGGTATCAGTTGAACGACTGCTGGAATCAGCCAAATGACAGCTGATATCAGCCAAATGACTGCTGATATCAGCTGAATGACTGCTGAAATCAGATGAATGACTGTTGGAATCAGCTGAATGACTGCTGAAATGTGTTGGATGACTTTTGAAGACTACTGAAGAAGCTGAAACGGAGCTGTTAAAGCTAAAAGAAACAGAAGCTAAAGCTAAACTAAGCAAAGGACTAGAAGATAAAAGGAGCAAAACAGCTAGATAAAATTTAAAAATAGCTCAAGTCCAAAAGGAGCTAAATGCTAACTAAAACAAAAAGAAGGGAAAGCAAAACATAGCTAAAAGCTAGCTAAATAAGCCAAATTGGCTAAAAGTAGTAAAGTTGAATTTCTGGTGTTTGTCTCTAAATATTGTTTTCCTTAATGACGTCCTTCTCAGTAGAAATGTCTCACAGTTAAATATTAGCGAGACAAAACGTCCCACCCTTCTGTCCCCCATCTCAGGAAAATCAGCCAAAGAATCTCAGCCCTCTGCTCTTCATCACTTCCTGTTGTACCCACAGACAACAGGTGGAATTTTCCATCTCCAGAGATCAAAACTGTAAATGTCTCATCACCGGAATACAAGCAGAAAACAAAAACAACAACAACAACAGGAAGCAGAGTTAAATGTTTATTTGTCACGACTTTCCACAACAAGTTAAAAACAGTAAACAAACTCAGAAGAAGTGAAATTCTTTCATTTTTAGTAGAAAACGTTGGACTAAGCTGCCCCAGGTTCAGTTCTTCCTGCAGAGCCGACCCTCAACAGCTGAAACCTTTTCAGATCAGAGAGAAGGCAAACAAACAGCTAAAACAAACAAACAGCTAAAACAAACAGCTAAAACACATAACGCTGTCCCTGCTGGTCCAAAGAGATTTGAACAAAAAGCAGATTGAAGGAGAAACAACGTAAACAAACAAATAAATAAATAAATAAATAGTCTGGCAGATATTTCAACTTTTGGCTCACTTAAATGCTCCAAAACGACACGTTGTCGGCGTTATCGGAAAACGAACGGAATGTAAACAGAGTTTGACATGAGACAACAAGAATGTACAAACAAAACAACTAAAAGATGTTTTCAGTTTGTGAATCACTCAGAACATCTGGAGCCAGAGATTTGAGCAGGAATAACATAAACCTCCAGCTGCTCAGGTCATTGAACACACCTTTATGTTCTGCTCAGGTCATTGAACACACCTTTAAGTCCTGCTCAGGTCATTGAACACACCTTTAAATCCTGCTTAGGTCATTGAACACACCTTTAAGTGCTACTCAGGTCATTGAACGCACCTTAAACCCTGGAACAGAACTGTTCTTTGATTCTTCTATTGATTTAATTCAGATTAAATTTATGTTGAAAAATTGACTCTTATTGAAGATGGTTCTGTGGTTCTGGTTCTATCTGTGTTCCAAATCTCATCGCATGGCTGAATGGACCCACATGTGGGTCTAATCCAGCCTGGGCGGGTAGTGCTCCAGACCCATGTCTTGGTTCTGGTGCACCTTCGTGCTTAGAATCCGATCAGATTATCTGCAGGGGATTTATTTATTTTTTTTTACAGCTGCCACTTTTTCCAAGGATGATCTGAAACAAGTGTTCAGAACACTTTACTGGGTCAGAACCAGCTGATTCTGTGTCAAAAGGTTCTGCAGATACGAGTCCAATAACAGAGATGTGAGCATGAAGACAAAAACACAAAGAAGTTTTCATTTATGATAAAAACATTGAATACGTTTATTTTTCTGCAGTTTGGGTCGATGCTCTGATCAGCAGGAACTTTAAAAACAGATGAGTTCTGAAGAACACCACCAACAGAACCAGGATCAGTCCAGGAACTGTTCAGACCTGTTCCTGCTCAGCTGAAAACCTCCAGGTGAGGTGAAACACCTGAGGTGTGGTGGACCTCGGTCCTGGACAGGCGGGCCCTGCGAGACTTTCAAGGTGAGTCTGAGTGTGGGAAAACAGAGCACTGACAGCAGAGGTGAAACTGATGTCTGCAGGTCCAGAACAGGTCCTGTCAAGCTGTCAATCACTGACCTTGATACAGATCAATAATCAATAATCTGTCCCGTTCTCAGACTCTGTCTTTGTCTCTGTGTTGGACATTTTCAAGATGAAGGACAAACTTTGTGTTATAAAATGTACAGATTTACATGTTTTTATATTCTGTGAGACATTTAGGTGTTCAGGCCGTAAAAAACATTAATAAAAAAGTCACTTTAACATCATTTACATATCAGAACATAAAAAACCTGAATGGGTTCTAAAAGGATCCAAATCTGACCTGAAGGGTACAAAAATCAAAAGGTTCCACTGAGTCATTATCTATTCAACAGAACCAGGCTCCAGTCCTGATCCAGAGCCTCCTCCAGCAGCAGAACCCTCAGTGGTTCTCTGTAGGACTTCATCAGTCTCACTCATGGTTCTGGAGGAGTTCTGGGCCACTCAGGGACTGACAGGAGCCCAAACCATCAGCCTCCACCACTGTGCTTACAGCAGGGAGGAGCCGTTTGCTGCAGTGCATTCTGGGTAAACATCTTTCCTCTAGTCTGGTTCTGGTCCAGAATTATTGTGGCTCCTTCAGATGAACTAAGTTGCTGCCATGTTGGGTTTAGAGAAGAGGTTATGACCTTTGACCTGCTGACTGAGGCCTGTAGAGTCACTGCACGGTCTGACCTTCAGGGTGAATCAGCTGTCTGAAATGTTCTCCTCTTTGGAAGAATTTTTCTCTAAATGACCTTTGACCCTTCACAAATTGATGGACAGCAGCAGCTGTTTCTCTGAGGTCATTGCTGACGTCTTTCCATCTTGGCGTTGCATTAACACACCTGGAGGTTCCAGAGCAGCAGAACCTCTTGGCTGATCCTGGACCTCTGAGGTTCTGTGAAAGCAGCAGGTCTGGAGCCAGTTTCTAGGTTCTGTTGAATAAATAACGACTCGGTGGGACCTGTGGTTAGACCTGGATCCTTTAGAACCTGGTAACGTCCAGATATTTCAAAGCCTCAGCAGAGGACAAAGCGCTGAGATAAAAACGATGACATCATTCTTCTTCAGTCTTCAGAACGTCTGGAGAACCGCTCATTGGATCAGTTTTTTTTTTTCTCATAAAAACACGATTCAGGCCCAAACACGATAAACGAATGATGTCCGTGATGGTCCCCGTGTCCATCCTGATGGACGCCGACGCTCAGCATCCAGGAACAGGAAGTCCACGGCGTGTCTCACAGCTTGTGGACGTCTTCGTGTCTCAGGATCTTGTAGAGGACCCAGTAGAAGATGTTGAAAAAGAGGAAGGCCAGAGGGAAGCCGGCCCGCGACACTGTGTCGATCTTTTTGGCGCGGTCGATGAACAGCTTCCTCATCTCCTCCATGCTTTTCCCGCCGCCGCCTCCAGGTGCATTCTGGGTAGTGTTGGCTGCTGGGGTGCTCAGCGCCGTCACTGCGTTATTGGTGCCGAGTTTGGACTCTTTGGTGCTGCTGGGAGTCGAAGTGATGGCAGCTGGGGAGGTCAGCCTGCTTTCATGGACATCCACGTCCTGTTGGAGGAAAGGGGGGAGGGGGAGGAGGAGGAGGAGGAGGAGGAGGAGGAGGAGGAGGAGGAGGAAGATGAAACCCTCACTGTCTTCCTGTTTAAAATAAAAACTCATTAAAAACAAACCCAAAGTTTGATTTTTACGTGAAGTTTCTGAATATTTCAAGTTTAAATTGTAGATTTTCTCTGAGTTATTAAAACTTTCTCCTAACTCTGTTCAAACGTGGAGACTTTGAACTTCCTGTTAAAGATCATGATCGACTGCAGCTGTTTCTTTTCACCAACATCATAAAAACATCTGTGGCAAAAGTCACCAGACTGACCCAGACCCGGGACTACGAGAAGGTTTCAGGACCTCAGAGAGGATCAACTCCTAGATCCACCAGTGTCCCTGTCCACCATAGGCCCTGTCCACCAAAGTTCCTGTCCACCATAGTCCCTGTCCACCATAGTCCCTGTCCAACAGAGTTCCTGTCCACTAGAGTCCCTGTCCACCATAGTCCCTGTCCACCAAAGTCCCTATCCACTAGAGTTCCTCTCCACCAGAGTCCCTGTCCACCAGAGTCACTGTCCAGAGT